GTGTTTGTGTTTTCTTTAGTTTTCTGATAGGAGAGTTGACGGAGTAAAAAAAAAAAAAAAAAAGGTTTTAACTCGTGGTAACACCAAAAGAATGAGGTGGGGAAAAAAAAAAATTTATCACTTCCTTTCAAACAAAAAAGAAAAAAAAAAAAAAGGAAGGCATAGATAGATGCATATATAATGTCTTGAAGGTCACACACGGGGGCGAGTCGGTTGCATGGAGGAATTTCTTCAAGGCCCTGGAAACAAGTACGAGGACATTACATACTAGACCTCATCGCTTATCCTGCAACATTGCGAGATTAGGCTTTTTTTTTTCTTTTTTTTTTCTGTTCAAAATTCCTCTTAAAACTACGCCTCAACATTCCACGTCTCGTCGCATTTGAGACATCGCACAAAAACCGCCATGTTATCATGCGCCTGCACCGAGTACTCGTTGGCGACCGCCTCGCGGGCACCACAGCCGGGACACACGTAGAGCGTCGTAAAATTTGTGAGGTCGCTCCCCTCCTCCAGCGGGGACTCCGGTTCTACGGGCGACACCCCCGACGGTTTGTCACCGTCATTGTCGCTGCGCTTCAGTAGAAGATCCGGGTTGGTAGGGTTCGCAACAAAGTCCTTTGCAGTGATAGAGCCGTCAAGCAGACCGCAACGCAGAGCCGTGTTGCTACCATCCCGCAAAGCAGCGAGGACTTCCATGCTGACATCCTCGTCGTCCACGGCCTCCAACTCCTTCTCGATGTTCCCTGCAACGATAACAGGATCATTGATGGTGTCGCACACCTCCTCGTCGGTGAAGCAGGCCTCTAGCTGCACGCCCAATGCACCCAGTGAAACGTCCTGGCGCTCCGAGCCAATTGTTGTGTCATTTGACGCCATATCGAGGGCTGACTTTTTACTCAAAAGCTGCTGCGTTGCGGGCGGAAGTTGACGAAACCAATACGTCAAGATCGCCGAAGCGAGCGAGACGACACGAACAGGGTAGTCCCTCAAGAGGAATTTTCCAACAGTAACACCAATCTTAAGGCGGCGAAGTTGGTCAAGGGTGACGTTCACAAGTGACAGCGGTGAGAGGACCTCAAGTAATTCCTCCTCCGCCGCCTCACTGACAGAAATGACACCACCGTGATTGCAGGCTTCTGTCAGCGTCTCTAGCTTGTGCCGGATGGTCGCAAGTGTACTATCGGATACGGTGTGACGGTTCTCACGAAGCATGCGCTCCAAGTATGCCGCATCATCTTCCTGGTGAGTTGGCAGAAACCCCGCCTCCTCTT